TGATTATGATTCATTAGCTGATATAGCTTTCTCTAGGTTTCTTCAAAGCTGACATGCAAAGCAAAAGGATTGCTGAGAACAATTACAAAGCACTTGAGAAACGAAGCTGAATACAATCTATGAAAGGAAAATTAATACTACAATCAATTACAAAAGGAATTCTCACAGGAATCCAGATTTGTTTTGGTGATAGTTTATTATAGAGGACCCCCTGTTTGTTTGAGGGAGGGGGGGGAGCCCCTATTTACTAATCAGGCGCCAACATTAAGGAGGAGGTGAGCCTTCGAAGATGGTCACCTTGGAGGTGGTGGAGAATCTTGGAGAAAATCGACTCCAACTTGGGGAAGAAAGATCAACTCCAGGTGGGACATCTACTCCAAACTTCTGGTTTCTCCACCTAATTCCTCATTTCACCGCAAGTTGTCCTGTTTTCTCACCTCCGCTTCCCCCGCGCCAACCATTCAGCGTCTCCTTGCAAAACCTGGTGAAGTTCATTCCGTTCATGTCTGCCTGCAGCGACGGATGGCGGCGGACGACTGATCCCCCGACTCCGCAGTGGGGCAGCGACCCCAATCTGGCCCATTGGAGGGTGCGGATTCTTAGGGAAGCCGAGAAGCCTTCAAAGAACTTCAAAGTGCCTGGTCTTCTGGTGTACCCACCCTTGTGGATCTTTTTTGGAGCTGTTGGGGCGCCTCAGGTCAAAGACCCTTTCAAGAATGCCATCGTGTTGTAGTGTCACCTCCTTTGGGTTTTGTTTTTTTGGATCCTGTTGGGCCTCAGAACCGGTGTTCACGGCGTCACGGCGTCACGGGCTCGTCCCACGTGGTCGGGTCGAAACGCGGTCCGGAAGGACTCAGCACATAAGGTGAGCCAAGTCTACAGGTGACCTCGACAGGAAGCTGGTGGAAGATGGAGGTACCTGGGTACCTTCTCCCCTCTTCAGATTGCTGCATCCTGATCCATCGCAACCGATTCACAGTCCGCCCACCGATTCACATGCCGAATGGCATGGCCAGGACCACAGAAGTTGTAGAAGACAGCCTCCATCCCATCGCCATCCTCAGGATCGTGTACTACGTCCTCTGTGAGCTCAGATCTACACTGGCACCGTCGAAAGGGTTGTATCTATAAACCACCCGAACTCCCTGATGCTGGCAGATTGGCCCCTTCTGTGAGCAACCATTGATTCATTTTGCAAGGCCCTCCTTCAAACACCCTCATAACCAGACTCTGATCAGGAGATGGTTTGTTGATCAAGATCAACAAACCTGCCTGCAAAGAGCACAAAAAAGAGACCAACTGATGATCTATATACCTTTCACCCAAATGCTCGAAACAGGCCTTGGTCCCTCAAAACCCTGGTCCGGACCCCTCCATAGAATTCGGGTCCGGCCCCTCCTTTTCACGGAGGGTCCAGACTTCGCGTCTGGGCAGGACAAATCCAAAAATCCACATAGAAAAGGGACTCTTCTCCACTCGGAAACGAGAAGCTCGGACCCTCTCACCTTCTGCCCGGTCTCCGAAAGGCGGAGCCGTGCAGCGGTTTGGCGGACCCGGAAGAGTCGAAGGGCTGGGTCCGCAGTGGAAGGGACGGTGTCGATTGAGATGATTCAGACATTCACTTCAAGACATGCACAAAACGAACATGCGTCATATTTACAGGTCAATTGAAACCTGTTTTCGGGCCTTTCCCAACCCTCCATTTCGGAGACCTGTAGAGTCGGGTGCTGGTATATAATTTGTAGATACTGTATATAGTTTTGTGTTCTCTTCTTCGTCCCGACCAGAAGAGCTCGTGATCAAACTGTCCCTACCAGGACCCTTCGCTTCGCTTCGGCTCGGCTGTTTGGAGACCCAACCGGTGCTTTTCACCGCACCGGACGAACGGACACACGTTCCACGTCCCACCAATCTTGGAGGGGTCCAGGTAGGAAGCAATTGAGACTTTGGTGTCAAGACACCTACCAGCACCCTCATTGCTAGGTCACCACCTACCACTTCAACATATCGGAGACCCTTCTTCGCGTCAGGCGCTGGTATCCTCAGTGTTCAGACCTCTGGCACCCCCAAAAAGCCGCGCCGTAGACTGGATGATCTACCGACGGGACGACGTTCGCCGTGTGATCCCAGCGGCTGAGGGTGCCAAGATTGCTTTGGCCTTCAGCACCTCGCGACGGCCCTTCCCGCACTTGATCCACGTGGAGAACCTGTGGCGGACGGGAGGTCGGTCGGTGGATGTTGGGGAGGTGTTGGGGACAGGAAAGAAAAAGGCGCTTTGTCAGGGTAGACTCGAACAATCAAAGCAAAAGGCGATAGTCTCATCGTCAGCGCCCGCTCATGAAATTTGCTGGTTTCGGATGCTCATGTCTTCAATCCAAAACTGGTGGTTTTGCTGCCTTCACCAAGACAAGCAGCCTTCACCAAGACTGGGGGGCCCTGCTCACATGTGGTTTGTGCATTCTGAGGTCCGAAGGTTTGACAATGGCTCTATATACCCACAGCCCAACCTCCCGTATTGGAAAAGCCCCAGGGATTGGTGAGAAACCCCCAGACGACCGCTTCAGAGGCCAGTCTGGGGCCCCGAAAAGGCGAGCGCGCTCCACTCTCTTCAGCGTCCAGACGCGCACCAGCCCGCGGCAGAGTTCCGATCCCGAACTCATGGACCAGGCTTCGTCGAACACCAAGAGAGGTGACCGGTGACCTGAAAAAGAACCCGTAACCTAGGTGCCTATGGCGTAGTCTATCCAGCACCCGACTCTACAGGTCTCCGAAATGGAGGTTTGTTAGGCTCTAAAAGGTTTCAATTGGTGACCTGTAGAGTCGGGTGCTGGTATAGGGTCCTTCCACTTCTGTTGGTGAGTTCCAAACCTGCCAGAGCGGCCCCGTTGCTCCGGTGCGCCACTCGTCTCGCCACCCCGGGGGCATCCGACCAGACTATCCCAGACCATCGGACTGCAGTACGCCACCACCGCACACCATGGATGGATCAGGTTCGAATGTACAGCTGGATCAGGCTGGATCATCCAACTATGGGAAAATCTATACCTCACTTGGCTGGTTGTATAATAGTTGTATAGATAAAAAGTCAAGTAAAAAAAAATGCACTGTTGGTAGATCCCACTTATCAAACATTATGTATACCTATACATGTTCAGTCCCATGGATGGTCTGGGATTCTTCCAAATATGAAGAATTCTTGACTTAACATGGGATTTCCTTTGGGCCCACGCATTTTCAGAGGCTGCCAAGCACGGTCCATCTTCTCCCGAAAACCACCCACCTCCACCGAACTGTCCTTCGTCTTCGTCCCAGTGGCTCGTCAAAGCTCACGCTACCATCGCCACTGCGGTCCAGGTCGGCGCCTCGAGGGAAGAGGACGCCGAACGCCGAACGAGTTCGCCGTCTTCGTTCGGGCGAACGACCGGGGGCATCACGGGGACCTTTTCGGTTGAACCGGGTGTCTATATGTCTATATGCGGAAAACCCCGAAGAAAGAGGTGATTTCAGGAGTTGAAGAAGTCCATTGAACTGTGACCATTCTGACAGGGAGTCCTTTGGCCATTTGATTGGACTGAATCCCAAACAAACATGTGGTTTTACTGCAAAAACCATTTCGAGCGGCCCAGAAGCGAAGTATCCCATGTGCAAAGCATCCGTGGCTTCTGCATGCTGAAAATCTACCCAACCCAACAAAAAGGGATGTCATGGGATTTCTATCGCGAAACTCTCGTTAGGCTGATACCTTCACTGGGCCGATTCTCCGAAGTTGGGGTGAGCAAAAACCACCATGTTTATCTTAACTGACTCGAAGGCATCGAAGGCATCTTCAGCAATCACCACGATCTTCGCAACCAACACATCCTACCAGCACCTTCAAAGGGGTCACCAATGGAAGTCCCTACACTACTAGGGGACCTGCATTGGACACCCCTTGAAGGTCCAGGTATTCTTGGAGGAACCACGGCCGAGACCGCCGAGTCTTCAGCTTCCAACCTGGGTGCCGTCCCAAGACTCAAAATCCGTCGATCCACCAGGACTGAACCCGTAAACACCGTCTCCGGTGCTTGTTGGGACACCCCGTTCCTCACCTCTTTACGAGGCAACAATAGACATGGAAGCTCCTGAAGGGAGCATCAGGTGCCGACATCGGCCGCCGAGTGTATCTTCACGTCACCGGTCACTGGTCCTCCGCCACCGGTCACCGTCCCCCACAGAAGGGAGAGACACCCGACATCCCGCTGGACTGGTCCAACGTCTCGTTTCGGAGTCGAAGTGTCTAGGTCTCCGGTCTCTCATGGTCTGAGCTACACACCCACGGTCTCCCATGGCCACACCGTGCTGAGCTGAGCTGGGATGGACCTCCCTGCGATCTGAATTCCAAGCCCAAGCACCAAGCACCGCTTGTTGTCGTCTCCGAAGGAGCTCAAGCGTTGGATGACCAGTTGCTATGAAAAGGTCGACTATGCTGACAGAGCCCATGTTCAGTGCATGACCTCTCATTTGGTTGTGTTATCGGAACAAGGAGTGCATCGTCCAAGGTGTCCAATGTCCAAGGTTGTCCATTGTGTTTTTAAAACGCACAGGATCAGCTCGCTGAGGTCGTCTTTCTCGCCCTAAGGATCCTTGGACCCTCCAGGAGGGGTCAAAAATGAACGCCCCTCCAAGTCCTTCCTGGTTAAGGTCCGGATTCTTAGGAGAAGATAGAAGTGTTAAATCCTCCGTCCAACGAGGTGGTTTTTCGATGAATTCGCCTCCATCCGTGCGCCATGCGCGATCCAAAAAGCAGCCCAGGCACGGACATGCTTGATCTCATCGGAGGAAAAGCTCCCCAAGACCTGTCCCCGGTTCTTGAGAGCTGACGTGGAGTGCTTGAGTAAGTGACCAGTCTGGGGGGTCCTGGGGGTCTGATGAGTCTGATGCATCGAGCTACCATGGCACCCCCAACAAGCTGTGTGCAGTTGTGGCTGATTTTTGGCAAAAATCTTTGCCATCAACGGCCGCATCGACGATCGAGCGGATCAATCGAGGCTGGGCTTACCATTCATCCAATATGACGGGCGTACCATTCAGCCACTCTTGGAGCGAGATGGGTGTGTATTAAAATAGGGAGACCCCCGCTGTTTGATCCCCTGGAAGAAGGAAAATAGACAAAAAAGACAACACGTTGGTTGGAGAATGTTGGAGATCTCCCTATTGAAATACACACCCAATAGGGAGACGGCCTTCAAAGTTGACCTGTTTTTGAAGTCTAAACTCCTTCGTAAAACCATGGTGCTTTGGGATTCAGACCCTTAAAACAATGCTGGGCCAGGAATCCGTCACACCTTTTTGGAGGTGGCTTTTGGCACGAACGCTGAGAATTTAAGATCATTTGTGTTCCCAACCATGTACACTCTCGGCTTTGCCCCTGAGGTTGTTTCATGTGGTCTCTCGTGGAGAGACCACTCTGACCTGCCAGGTCGGGTTCACAATTCAGCCCACAGTTGGCAAAGCGTGAAAAAGTACAAACACCAACAAAGGTGACCAGGATTCCGAGCCCACCATTTGTTTACAGCCAAAATATCCTGAACAACCCTTGTTCTACTAAGGAGTTGACAAAAAAGCACCGGGTCCTTTTTGCGAGGGACCAAACTCTGAACTCATGGGTCGAAGCTCGGTGAAACGGCTTTGTTCGGGGTGTCCTTTCGTTCAGTTCAGACCCTCAAATCCCAAAAAAGGGCCGGGCTATCCATGAGATCCGGCATCGGCATGGGCATGAGATCCCTGAATTTTCCATCTGTTCCTCTAGAAATAGGTGGTGAGCTCCACTTCTTTTTGAGGATTCCAGGACGGCAAAAACACCAGGTGAACCTTGGTATATGCCCCTGCGAGTTTCGGGCGGCTCATCCAAACCCGACACAAAACATGGACACACAACATGATCGCTGATCCTTTGGTCCAGGAATGTCCTGAACACTTCGGTAGTGACAAACATCATCTGTCACTGGACATCTACCAGGACCCTCCGACAGGGCACCAATGGTTCGACCTGAGACAGGGTCCAACAACCCTCAACTAACAGCCTGGCCAGGAGGGTGCTGGCATTTGATTGTGAATCATGGCCGGTTTGATCCGCAAGGCAATCGCGGTGTTCGTGCTCCAGATCTTTGGTGGTTGACTTCCTTGCCGGTAGAACCTGACCGACAGGAACGCATCTTTGCGTTCGGCATGGATGGCTGTACAGGGTGTCCGCTTCAAGCAAAACAGACAAAGTGTCAAAACTATAAAGCTACATCTTCCGCAGAACTCCGTCTTCCTCCGGAACTCCCCAAACTTCCCAACCCAACACAGTACCCCACTTTCCCTCATCCTCACAGCCACGTAAAAGCCCTTCCAAACCACCAACACGCCTTGCCCCCGAACCGGTCCGTTGTGGAGCAAACCCGTCGGACCCCCCCTCGCCTTGAGCGTGGTGGCCAACTCTTCGATATCTAAGACCCCATCTCCCGTGGCGTCGTATTTCTGGAAGGCCTTGGGAGGCTGCATCGGCCGCAGACCGACCACCCGCCGCCATTGGCGTTCGTGCGCGGGTGCGTTCGGCGGAGGACCGCACGCTAGATAGGCCGCTAACGTCCAGTCTGACCCAGTAAAACCTGGTCGACTGGACCTCCTGGTCTTTGACCTCCTTAAGTATTGGTTTTGTGTGACCATCTTCAGTCAAGGGTCAGTTCCACGAAAAAGGAATGGTTGACCTGGTAGTTCTTTGGGATGAAAAGGCCATTCAACCGGCTTGGCCACGAATCCTGCCGGCCTACCGTCGTCTTTCGTCGGTGACGGCCACGCGACGGCGACGGTTCAGGGGCGGTTCTGGACCCCCGGTGGGATGAACGAGTCCTTCCGCTGATCCGTGGGATCTGACGGTCGTTTTAGATACCTGGACCATCCTCTTGGGGTGCCTTGTCTGGAAGCCTAGGCCGGTAGTGTGGGGTAGTCCAGCCAGGACACCCCGATGGTCGAATGGTCCTGGTAGGTGGCTTCGGTCCAAACGATATAGCTTCCGTCGATCGAAGTTCGTAGATGGCCCGCGCGTACCGTAGGACGTAGTCTTGGTTTAACCGTGCCGCGACGACGACTTAGGGACCACGGACGTACCCGAAAATATATGGTCCAAGGCTCATCTAGGGTCCATGTTCTCCGTCCGAGAACTACCTGCGACTCGGTCGGACCTGGACACTTCAAGTACCCAAAAAGAGATCCTCGGTCCGAGAACCTGGCGGACCGAGGCGGACCTGGCGCGTCTTGCGCCCAACTTCGAGTCCATACCGTACCCGAAAGTGCCCCCAAAACGGGGCTCTCCATCTTCCCAGAGCCACAGACATCCGCCGAAGGCACATTGCGGATTCGGACTTCACGCGCTTTCCCTGACGTTCGTGCAGGGCACAGTCGTGAGTCGTATGTCCGTGGACAGCCATGGCTGGTTCAACAGGTACCCTGGCCAAGGCAAAATCGATGGGGATTCCAGGATGAGAAAGCCACCAGTTTCTGGCAGACGGATGATTGAACCATGAAGAAAATCCCAAGGTTTTTCGACTTGGGCATACACCATTTTGTTGGGTCGTGACACCTTGTTGGCAACTTGTGGCACCTCGAAAATGAAGTTCGAGTTTCTCCTGACATTCAAGTGCTCACCAAAGGGTCCAGTTTCCTCAGCACCAGCCTCGCCTCGTGAGAAACAGCGCCAGCCAACTCTTGCCTACCCTCCGCCAAGCTACACCGAGTTGAGGCTGGATCTTTCGGGGTCTTGTCTTGGTTCCCCACGAAGGTGTTTGGTTCCCCGATCTCACCCGGCGAATCTCTCCACGCGCCTGTTTCTTTGACAATCCTTGGCGCAAGGGCCACGGCGTTTCTTTGGTCAGGACGTGCCAGGACTGTGCATGGAAAAATACTAACAAAAAGTGGCTCGGCGGTAGAAAACCGAGGTTCTAATGATGAGGGACCAACACCCACTAGACAAATTCAATCAAATTCATATATCCAGCAGTGTTCTTTCTTTTTTCTGGCACCTTCCTTTCTCTTTTTGCGACATGCATGCAGATCACCCGTGAGAACCCAGCAAACAACTGGTTAAAATGTCCAAAAAAGACTAGAGCTTCCTCACCTCAAGACCTACACCAGAAAAGATCGGTACTTTTTAGTAAAGCATTATATATATATATCCCGGCCAGAACCCCAAACAGGAGTTTATCCAGATTACAAAGCACACATATGAAAATAAATGAAAATACACATACGAGAGCACACATACCAGAACACGCACACGCACACATGAGAGGACGCACATCACATAAGAGGAAACAAATAAGAGCACGCATGTGAGAGCAAATGCGAGCACACATATGTTAGAACTGTTAGATGGCACAAATGAGAGCACACACAAGCACATGAGCGCACACATATCAAAGCGCACTTATCAGTAGTAACGGGGAAGCGGCGGGGGCTGAAATTTCAAAAAGGATTCTTGTAACAACCCTGACCTATCCCAAAATCGACCAGAGTTTGGTGCATCACAGTTGGCGGCATGATCGACCCCACCAATCGCACCACGACACGCCGCGTGACCCCGCATGCATGCTTCCCGTTCCCAGATGGAAGCCACACCGCATGGCAAAGCATTTCGCTACCACCCTGCGCCACTGGCTCGAAACAAAGTGGTCGCTTCCGAGGTCGGCCACTCCACGCATGAGAGCAGTAACCGAAGTGCCAAGTTCAGAGTCCCACCTTGGACTACAAAGTAGACACTGCTAAGCAGGGAGCTACTGCATGACAGCACACACGCAAGAGCGCACCTACACCAAATATAGTACATCTGCACTTTTCGCCTTCAAAGTGCACTTTCCAGTGCTGTGCCTGCCGCGAACCCCTGCACTCCGCACTGCCAGGAACCGCCATGAAATCCTGGTCCGTCCAGTCATGACTCGTGGAAATACCCCCCATACGAGGCCGGCGGCTACGGGGACTGGAGGACTCCCAGGTGAAGTCGTTCAGTCGACCCCGGACGTGTGCAGGTATACATGCCCACTCCAACGGCCTGGGGCAGGCCCACTCCGCACGGTGGCCCAGCTCACCCCGCGCCCCAGCGGCCAGCTCACCGTGCCAAGGCACACACGTGCCAGGGCCGACGCGCGTTCGGAGCCGTGCCGCAGCCACTGGAGAAACTCCCTCACGGAGACCTCGACGTCCCGGTAAGGCACCCGGACGTCGAAACACCCCATGGCGCTCGGACGGGGGACATGCCGGGCATGCCTACCAGCAGTTCCAAAAAGGTGCCGAACCTGGAGGGTAAGGGGGTGCCTACTGGCACCATTCACTGGATGGTGCTCAAAAATTCCATATAGTTGGTTGGAACTGTTTGTCCCGGGACCCAGCTTTGGGTGCTTTTCAGAGACGGGATTGGAGAGATCAAGGGACACCGGCGACACCACTCAACGCCTGTTTCGGACTGCTGGGCGCTCCAAACAGGCGCCAAGATGAGAGGAGCAACCCGACCGGTCTCTCAAGACCTAAGAATTTAAGACCCCAGACCCCTAGACTTCCAAGACCATTTAAAAATTGACCTGGTTTTTGTAGTGAAAAAAGCCGTGATGAAATCAATGGTGGTTGGAAGCCTAGGGATCAATGTTGTTTTCGGACGCAGGGAGCAGGGATGGGGGGCTGTCCCCGGTTGCCTCGGCGTCCGGTCGCCCGACTGCATTGGTTTTACGACTCTACTTTGCTCTATGAAAACCAGGTGTGTTCATGGTCTTTACCAAGCAAGCCTTAAGCATCCATAAGCATTGCTTTACTAAATCAATGTACTATAAAAACCAGGTCAACTCTTTTGAATGGTCTTCTGGGTTTCGGCAAGGCTAGGGCTGTTGATGGACATCCGGCACTTTGAACCACCCAGACACTCAGACATTCGTGGGAGGAATCTGTGACCACCATCATCATCATCATCATCATCATCATCACCATCATCACCACCACCACTACCATGCAACCCAACAGCATTCTACCTAATCAGGCGTTGGTGTGGACGCCCTTTTCTCAGGCGTTGGTAAACATGAAAGATGAAAGACAAGAGACCTCATAATTCTCGCCCGATGTCTAACATCGACAGCCTTGTCAACATGAGACAGAGTTCATCCTTTCAAACGCTCTTGGATTACAAGTTCTTCGCGCAGCTGACCACCAATCTGAACTGGCTGAACTCAAGTCCATTCCATCAAACTGCATGCTGAAAAAAACCTCTTCCCTCGAACCACCTCTACTGGTTGCTGGGCGCGCTCGTGACCGGGCGATTGCCCCGAGCTGCCGTGACCGAGTCTCCGTCTCCGTCTCCGTCACGGGGGGGCTGGGCTCACTTAGGATCACACCGAAAAATACCTCGGTCTTGAAAGCCCCCCCCCCCAAAAAAAGGTCGAACTTGGGGGGTAGGGGTGCCCCTGTCACAATTCACTGGAGGGGACGAGCCAAACACTTCCGACATGGAACCCCTACTATGTCCAGTCGACTAGTTTTAGAACGGTCTGACGACCGCCTGGACCAAGCAGGTCGGTGGGTTTTGGGACACCCCGAATCACTTCGCTCTTTTCCTTGACACCTTTCTTCAAGTCGGGGTTTTACAAATGGCTCGGATTTAATTTAGGATTTTTGTGTTTTGTTTTGGGATTTTTTTGTGTTTTTCGTGTTTCGTGGCAGGTGCAGTACTCCTTTTACAACTCCTCGAATCACCTCGGAGCTTTGGACGTCTCGTTCCTCCAAGCCACAGTGCCATCACCTCCAGTGTCCAGTTCCTGGCCTCAGCGGAAGCGCGTTAAACCGCGCGCCCGGGTTCCACCGGTGGAACCGATCGGCGGAACCGCCGCGCGCGGTGCCACCGGGAAACTCTCGCAGCCGAACTGGGACCTTCGCACTATAGAGTGATTCGGGTCTAGTGGCTATGACCCAACCCTCAGCAACCCTCCAGGGTCGGACTGTCCACATATATACCACACGATGGAGAGAAGGCGGACCAAGCGGACCGGGCAGTTCCCCCATAGTTCTGGACGAGTTGGACCGGGCGCAGACCGTTTGAACACCACGCAGACCGTGGAGCACGGAGCCGCACGCACCGCAGAAGAACAGGTTTCGAAACCACTCTTATTGAGATTGTGCAATCCCAGAGACTCCATGTATAGGACAACTGCTGCTAGGTATGTGCCTACATGGACCCCAAAACCACCCCAAATGTGGATCAAAAATGCCATGTCCCATTGGCGGAGTAGGGGAATCTGTGTCATTGCTGGTTCCACTTACCTCAGGAGACACGGATCGCCGCCTTTTCCAACAACCAAAAGGGTATCCCATGAACGGACGACCCGACCAGCGGTTTCGACCCGCACCGGCGACGTTCCCATTCGGTGCCGCCAGGTCTCTGAGAGCCGCCAGGTCTCGGAGCCGGAGGCGTCCGTCCAAGCTCTTGAAGACCCTGGACGGACGGACCGTGCCGCGTGAACGAACGGCGTGAACGGCGTGAACGGCGTGTGCGTTATGTGCCGTTGTTGGGAACGAGAAAAGAGCCGATGTACATGGAACAAGTGCGACTGGACATGGACATGGGGAAGGGGGAGGGGGAGGAGCCAAGAATTACCCCATACAGGTCAGTTGGACCTCTTTTTACTGGACTTGATCAGACCAACGACGACTCAATCTTCGGTTTGCAGGACCAAACAAACAGGACTAACAGCTCAGCTCATGGACTTGTGGCGGCTGCTCTTTATTTCCCAAAACGCCACCGCAACGGCTTCGGCGTTCGTCGTTTGTCGTCGGTTTGGGCCTCCATAGCTCCCTCATGTCCAGCTTCCCATCTCCACTGACGTCGAACCGCGCGAACACCTGATGCGAATCTCGCGCCCGCCGGTGAAGAGCACCGCACCGGGAGCTTGCTGAGCTCACACCTTTGGGAGGTCCAAAGGCCCCGCCATGAATCTTGCTAGGCCTGATATCACCGAAGAACCAGAGCTGGTTTTAACCTATGTTAACCGGGGGTGACCAGGTCGTTCCCATCCAAAAACACCCGCGTCCTTCTTCGACCGGTCGCGGGACGGTGGTGTGGTGTGGTTTAAGCGTCGAAGCCTTGACACCTCAAGGACGCTGGTTCTTCGGAAAATGAATCCAAGGATGTTGATGTTGGAATCCGATGTGGATGGATTCGTTGCACGTAGATAGTTGCAGCTGGTGAGATGAGGATGTTGATGTGATGACAATACTGCTAGATGATGAGACCATACCAAGAGCTAGACTGCTAGACCTAGATATTATAGGTGTTGCTTTTGGTCGAGACCCAGCTTGACACCTGCGTCAGCGGCCTTCCTCCAAGGCCACACCCACTCGATGAAAACTGGAGCCATCTTGCAAACCACCAGTATACCCTCTCATTAGAGGGTTTGAGAGGGTGGTTTGAGAGGGTGAACCACCAACCCAACCACCAGTTGACCCAGTCCACCAAGCCTCTCAAACCCTCTCACCTACAGAGCCCAACCACCCTCTCGCCGACTCGTCGTTTTGCCCATCCGCCTCTCTCACACTGGTGGCGAGCACCTGATTCCGCCCGGTCGATGCTGTGAGGAGAGGAGAACATGCTGCAAGGTCTTTAGACAGTTGGTACTCAGAACATGAGTGAACATTGGTACGAGATCAAGCATACACTCTCTTCCACCATCATAGAATCATAGCTGTTTGTAGAGGAAAGAGTTCTTCCATCACTTTCTCCTGCTCCAACGGTCCCTGACCGACAGGGCGCTCCCTGGAGCGGTCTAGTCTAGACATCGCGCAGAAGAAATCCTTTAACAGCAGGGTTGGTTCCTTGAACAGGTTCTATGCAACCCGGTTCCTTCTAACTTTAGAGGGTCCATTGGGTAGTTTGTAAGAAAATGATCTCCTGAGCTTGAAAAGAGGAGATTGAAGTCTGGTGATGCCTTGTTCGCACAACAGACTCCTCCGACAGATGAAAAATACTCGAGAGCGGCTCAATCCGGATTTCGAACGAACAACAAGCGAAGCATGCTTCAATGTGGCCCATGGCCCAAATGTTGATGTTCTTTCCTGTGGGCACTCTTCCATGGTCAATGTCCACCAGCCAAGTGATTGTCCCAAAGAACCAAGGGACGTGAAAGATTCATTCTTCAATCAGTGGCGCTCGTGCAGGCACGAAATAGGTGTCAGGAGTCCCTACCTTACAAACCATAAAGATATGCCCATACCTCAACCATCCACATCCCCCCACATTTACGCCCCTGCTAGCTTGACCACCGGACCCTAAGCCGGCTGGTGTTGAGCTGGGATTTGCTTGAGAAACCAAGAGCAAATTAAGTAACTATCTTCCCCAGACGGTTTGAGGATTGGCCCCAGTTCGTTTAACAGCGACCGCCAGCACTAACCAAACCGCCAGCCAACTCGGCTGTCTACTTGGGAAGAAGCGAACACACTCGGCGAATACTCGGGGCGACCCAGTCACGTCGCTGGTTTCCTTCATGAGAGCCTTGAACACCTGGGCCGATGAACGCCCAGGCATGTTGCTCCAGGCCCACCCAGGAGCTGCAGAGGCAGAAGAAGAATCCGTTTGGCTGGAAAGCCCCACCTGGAAAGATAGATCCAAATAGAATGCCAGAAAGGATGTCAGGTCTTGATGCCAGGTTTTGGTTGCCAGAAGCTCTTGCCAAGGAAGAATATGGCAAATGCATATGGTTGTTCTCCGATGTCATGGCAGTCATCTGTCGGCAGGTTCATGATCCACCACGACCGGGCCGGAGTAGGGACCATGTGGACTCGAGACCGGGACTCTGTGGACTCGAGACCGAGTCCGAAGACCTTCAGACGAGACCTGCGCGGTCGTGTCGTGGGTGAAAAGGCCACGGGCCCCTTTCGACTCAGGGGGAATACATCGCGCACACTATCATACACCTGGACCTTCACCACCGAGGAGTAGATGCCACGCCCGTCCCGAGCGTCGATCTCTGCCCGTCCGAAACACCAACGAACGGATCCAACCGAACGAAGGCAGTGGTGTGAACCTAATCCCCAAGCAAAACATCTAATCAGAGAGAACTAGTTAGTTTTAAAAAAAAAATGAAAAACATCCACCGCCATGTTCCGTTTTCAACCCTCTGCCTCTGAAACCCACGGAAACCCTCACGGAACCTCCGATCCGCTCCCCAAATGCCCGCCCCCTCCGCCCCCTCCGGGCGGTCCGGGCGGTCTCAGCGATGCCACCCCCTTTGAGGATCCACTCGCAGAACCTCGGAGGAACCCAGCCATCCATCCATGGTCCATCCATGAAGACCACAGAACCATGCCTTTTCAAAGAACCACGTGTTTTCACTGCGAGGTCCCAGAACCACCAGGAGTGAAACCCAGTTGTATCCGTGAAACCCATTCAAATCCCATGGTCTGCCTACTCTTCCACACCTCACCCGTGAGCTGTCGGGGAAAGGAGTCCCACCGACCTCAGGCCAAGGAACGACCTGCGCCGAGTCCAAACGGAGAAGACCGACCCTGCTGTAAAAAACCATGGCAGGTTCTTCGGTGAGTACGAGGACGAGTATAAAAAAGAGACCACGGTGGGCCCATTTAATCCCCCGAAAGAAAAGAGGTCGACTCAACGACGTCATGTTCAAAAGTAAAGAAGGTGTTTATCATTCAGAAAGCCGAACAGAAGAGTGGTTCAGTGGCACCGACCTTGGTTGGTCATGAGTCATGCTAGTATACGTAGAGTGGTGAAATAGGATCTTTCTATGACCAAAGTCTGTTCACGAACGGACGAAGCTTTTTCTCAAGGTGGTTCGGCAAAGGCATTTAAAAAAGCATGAAATCAATGCTGTATTTCGATAGGGATCCGTCTCTGCGCTTTCGACACTTTCTCCTGCGTAAACTTCTCCTGCCGAGGAGCTCTTCTCGTGACACGGCCGCCCCATCGTTGCCTGGGAAAAGCCAGCGAAAAAGCATCTCTTTAGGATTCCAAGCGCTATTGATTGAATTGTTTTTTTTAACCCAAACACCATGTGTATCCATTTGTTTATACATGTTTATACTAAGGATTTTGACCAAACCAGCTCGGTCGGCACCGCTTCAACTCCTCGCGGCTGATCCAGAAAACCGCGCGTCTGCGCGACCAGGTCGCTGGGTCGACCCAGTGCGACCAGAGACTCCGACGCTCGACCCGCACTGCACCCGGTGAACGGGACGAAGATCTCCGGTTCCCAACGACGGTTCTCCCGGCGCTGAAGGATTTGTCCTACGGGGTCCGATGGCAAAAGCGGATGACCCGTTGGAAGCAAAGAACGGTGCTGCTCCAACAATGCAACCCTACGTACGTCCAGGATGACCTGCGGATCCTGGTGCTGAAAAAAGACAGAAATTGAGTAGTGTTTTTGTATGATGACGTGCAGTGTAATGAGGTCGTTGACCCGTAGGGAGTGCTTTTCAACGACGTATATAATGTTCTTATGGCAAAGTTTGGTGTAGGTCACTGCCTGCCACTTTTAAGTCTCCAAAAGCCACCAGAGGCGACCTATTGGAGGGTACTGGTACGATCTTTTTGGTGTACATGTACAAACGCGACACGGGCTCGCGTCTGACACGGCCCATGTTGGCAGTGAAGCAGCGAGGCGCTTAGTTGGAGTCATGTCTACAGGGGATTTGAGGGGTGGTGAAAGTAAGTCTTAGGGAATTTCCTGGACCCGGACTCCTTTTGCCTGGACTTTTCCTGCCACTTCACACACTCACCAATGTGTTCGCCTGAACCCATCAAAAAGTGAAAGTTCCTCGTCCCTGGGCCAGTCGAAGGTTCGGTTCTCGCTCATTCCACCATCGCCCCCAAAGGACGCCTTTCACCAACTCCTTGTAATAGTCAGTGATTTGCCTGGGTGAGTCACGGGCGAGCACCTGCCCGCAGGAAACTCTGCTAAGCCGCTTGCAGTGAAAAAACTCGTGGCTCTTTCCTTCACACCCACTGGCTTCTTGACCGTGTCCCATGATCATTATCCTCGTCTTTGCTTATTAGTGTCCTCAACAAATGCCAAGATCCAAACGGTGTTGGTGTTTTCACCCATGGTCGTTGGTTGCACCACTGGCACAAGGAAGCCACTTACTGTAACCACCAGAGCTACGCTCTGTTCACAGGCCGACCTCCCGGTCCCTCAACACCTACCAGCACCCTCAAGAGGTCTATAAATAGCCTCTTGGAGGTGATTCGGGATGTCCAAAAACCCATGTTGGAAGGTCCTGGTAGAGATGAAACAGAGGGTACCGCCCCTCGCATCTGGGCCGCCCGTCGGAACTCTTCGGATGCGCCGTGCCATATCTTGGATTGGGTCCCCTCACTCCAACAATCCTGGAAGTGCGCATTGGCCTAAACCAGCACATGGCCTAACCATTGCAGGTCTGCTCGATTTGAGGCTTGGGAAGGGCGGGAAGGGCCCTAACACAGGTCGGTCGAACCATGGCTGACCCGAACTGAGTCGGGGCGGTAGGTCTCCAGTCCGGTCTCCGTGGCATCTCCCACAAGCAGACTTCTCCCCTTCTCCCATTCTACAAACCAACCAGCTCATCCCCTTTCCGTCTTTCCTGGCAGCTTCACACCGTGGCACTTCGCGGTGAAGGCTGGGATCAACGTCTTGAACGCTTGGTGCAGCTCGAGTCTGACCAAGTCGGACGGAGACCGAGTAGGAGGATGGAGGACGAGAGCCCCGCCCCTGCCTGGACAGATTCATTTGTGGGGAGAGACCGGGTTTGTAGTGAATCCTTAGCAACTAAGGGTTCTTCAATGATCAGCCCATCAAATCCATGGTGCTCTCTGTTCGCCTTGGGCGAACACAAAATCCACTCTCTTCGCCTTCACCCTGAGTCTACACCTGCTTTTTCCTCGAAGAAGAATCGGATCCCATGGAACTCGGATCCGCGAGCCAAGCTGAGCAGGCTTGGCGGGAAAAGCTTCTGCCAGCACTTCGCCCTTCGCCCAAAAACGAAACGAAAAGAAGACCGAGGTTCCGAAGCGAAAAAAACAACCGCGAACACCGCCTATCGATCCAAGGGGTCGGCCCGGCCGCCCCCCGGAACCGAAACGGGTCCAGGTTCCGAGGTTCGCGGCTTCGGGGTCATAGGGACAGTGGCGAACAGGTGAAGGACCCTATTTGGCACCCAAGACTCACTCCCAGGGACTCTTTTTGTCCTCTCTTCTGCATCTCTTCCACCAGCATCCGAAGCGAAGAGAGCTCCTTCAATGCCAAAAGTGTGTCGCAGCAGCCAAAACAAGGCTTGTAGGAGTGGATCGGGAGAACATCTCGACAATCGACAGAACCCTCACCCCCCCAAAAAAAAGAAATTGAATTAAACAAAACATCGAAGTGGATTGCTTATTTCAATGTCATCCTTCATCTAATTGTTCGAACATCCATCCGGTTCTCCGGGATGGTTCCCATCCTCCTGCGTGTGATGGCAACGACCAGCTCCGTCCAACGACCTCCGTCCAGTCCGACTGGTGTCTGGCGTTGACCCACCAGGAACTTGATATTCTTTTTGGGAGTCATAGAGGAGTCGATGCCAGGTACACACACGTGACTCGAATTTCTACAGGTCTCCGACTCCGAAAAATGGAGGCTGAACATGCGGACGGTTAAAAGTCACGGGCGGTGACCTGTTGGAGGGTCCTGGTACCTATATTGGCTGTTCAACCGGGGGTATCCCCTTCCTATAGATCAACAAGCGTACGGCCGTAGCGCACGCCATCTATCCCTACAGGTCTAGTTTGACCCAGATCCAAACCTCCTGAAAACCGCAAATTGAGTACCAGGGCACCTGTTGTCACCAGGAAGCACCTGTGAAGTCGGGTGCTGGTAGATGCTGGTAGTTCTTTTTGATATGATACACTCCAGCAAAGTGAGGTCCGTTCCTGTTCTTCCGACCAGCTTTGACACGTGCTTTGACCCCTCGGTGTCAATCAATACCATGTACCATACCAGCTTGCCAATGCCCTGTACTTCTCAACTCCCAAACCAGCTTGCCGTCGTCCGTTTAAGGGAACGCACCGGGGAGGAAGGGCCTTCCGGATCCCCCCGGTCCTTCTCTTGCCACTGGCGCTTCCACAGGGCCGCCGAGCGCAGGAGCGACGTGAGCCGCGCCTGCATCCGTCGAGGGCTTCAGCCAGCGACCCTTTGCTTTCGGGTGGACGATCCTCATAAGGTCGCTGGTAGCTCTTCTTGTATGGGAGTCCCCTCCTCCGCTGGGCCCGCTGGGCGTCTTCACTGACGACGACCAACCCCAGTGAGCTCGGCTGGTTCGGTCCCACGCGAGCTGTTCGCTCGGCCAATGCTCGGGTCAGGGGTCTGGGGTCGAAGCAATCCGTTTGGAGGGAACCGTTCACCAAACCAGAAGACAGAACCCACAGAAACCCGGAAGCGAGCGAACGTGCGAGTCGTTGGGTTTCCAGCATCGTTGCCAGGCTTCGTTGGCTTCGATCCTCCGGACCGTCGGGTTCAGAACTCAGGACCTCAGGACTGGCCTTGACTGGGCACCCCACTCAGACTCCGACCTGGATCGTCCAACGTTCTGCAAGTCTTGTTCGGATCCGAACGAACGGCTGGATCAGATGAAGTTCGGCAGAAATGTTGACCTCCTCAGGCATCTAGAATTTGGAGGGCCCTCCTCTTTTAGGGCCTGAATCGTTCGACGATTCTCAAGGGTCTCCAGGGGCCCGAACGTCGAAACCGAAACACCGCGCTCGAACCGAGCGTCTGGCTGGTAGGGCCTCTTGCGTCTCCAAAAGCTTCTGGTAGACTTCCTTCACCTCAGCATCTGCGCGATCTGGCCATCTGACCCTCCCTCTTGGGAGAGAGGGTCATGTGATAATTCCAGTGGGCTTTGTGGTGGGCATATGTGGGGATTCTTACGAACTAGGCAAATCACTGAACGTATGTGTTGGGGACTTAGCAAGCGTTTGTGTGTCCGAAGGGAGTTTTTGGGGTTGTGGCTTCTCCAATAGCTGGACGTGGAAAAAGCTGATGTGGACGCTCAGGAAACGTGAGGTATTTGTATCGCAGAACTCGACTCCCCCCAAAAGCTCCACCCACATCCTTGGAAGGTACTTGGGACCCCCCTGGCACCCGCCCCAACCACCGAGCCTTTTCAGATGTGGTTGGAGCCCAAACAGGTCTACAGGAATCTTTCTCTTGTTGAGAGCTTCAGACTCCGTACTCGAACTGACTCCCGACCAATGGTGCGTTGAATGATGTGAGTCGACACGAGTCGCCCCTTCTTCATCCTCCCAACAGGTCTCTATAGATGAAGCCCAATGTAACGGGTCTCAATTTCACCTACACTCCCTGAAATCATCATGATGACATGGAGAACACACTTTGCCTAATTGTGGAAGACCCTGAAAATCCGAAGACCCAAACATACCCAAACTTTTGGTGGTGCTCACTCCACGAAACCATACTTTCAGGGAGTGTACCAGGACCCGAAAACTGCCAGGTCATCACCTGCGACTTCTAACCCATTTCACCCTCCAACAGGTTGACCATGTTCAACAAGCAGAGTCAGGTGCTGCCCAGATGGGCAGAAGCTCCCTCCGCTGCTCGGTCGCCACGGCGCGTTCTGCCGGGTCTGCGCGATGACCTCTTTCCTCGGCTCCAGCGAGGCCAGCAGCGCCGCGGGGTCGGAGCCCAGCGCCTCCGGCCTCGGCACAAACGCTCCACGAGAGTCGGCGCGTCTGCGACGGGGTGCGCAGACGGATGGGGTCTTTCTCGTCGCAGGCGCAGAGGTCCGAGCCCCGGGGCGTGGGCGGGCGAGACGGGGGAGGTTGAGGGGTGGTCGTGTGGGTTGAGGGATGGAGTTTGGGGTTGCTTTGAGGTTCCGGAGTTGGGGGATGAAAGATGGGTATGAAAGAGAACTGGATGTTGGGAGAACTGGATGTTTGAGGTGTTCTAGTGCTCTTGCGAGGTTGCCTTTTGGAAGAGCTTGTGGCTGTTCAGGTGGGAAACACGTGGAGGACCTTTTGACAAATCCCCAACTTGTACGAGTGATCTTCCATTCAAAAAAGGCCCTTTCAATGGAATCCATTTGCATTTGCGTGAACCCACCACTTCCCACCTGGAATCATAGGCTCCATGATCGAGTAAAACAACTGGTTCTTCAGTCCAACTCTCTTGAATCCATTTCAATCCCATCTGTTCCGGATGAAATCCATCAAAATCCCCGCTTACGCCCGACCGGCCAGGACTCCCAACAACCTCCTCCGTCCCAAAGTTCCAAACCAAAACTCCACCCCCCCCGAACGGAGGGTCAGTCGAAAGCTGAGGGGCGCCGAACGTCACATCCATGGCCCCTGGATGGGACGAGCCACACCACCCCGTCCACCCCTCGTGACTCCGGACGCTCGGAGCGCTCGGAACCGACCGCGCTCGCGCGGCGGCCGAAGACCGGGTCGATCCGACCTCTGCACGGCGATCTGCTCCCAGTCGATGAGCTCGTCAAAGGGCAGCGTCCAGCCTTCCGCCATCACCACCTCGGCCGGTGGAACCCGGCGGCCGGGAACGCGGGTGACGGACCGCGGTTGGCGGAAGACGTGGGGAAGACGGAGAGGCAAAGTCCAGCCAAGTCAAGCACAGCAGGCTCCAGATACGACTCTTCCGAAGGCTTCGATGCATGGTCGCTCGGCTGGCCAGCTGAAGCGTGGCCTAACGGGAGCGAGTCTCCCTCTCAGAGGCCGTCGGCCCTCGCAATCGCCTGGAAGGGGACCGTGGCCCGATGGTTTCCTGACTATTCCTGGGTCATTTTTCCTTCCTCCTTTGCCTAGCTCGCAAGATTCCAGGAACCTTGGCCCCCCAGCAGTTCCATGTGCGAAGGGTTTGTCAGTGGATGTTCCAGGCGCCCCTACACCTTGGAAGACTCCATTGTCAGGGTCTATGTTAGTTTTCGGGAGTGTATCTTCTAACTAACTTTTCGGATAAACCTGAAGCACACCGATTGCATCGATGAACACCTGAGGCTTCTGGCGCCTGCGGAGTGGCGGTCAGTGATGCACAAGCAACAAAGCAATCTCGAACCAAGTGTTCCACGATATCATTCTGTGTTGCCCAAGTCAGTTTTCCACAAGTTGTCCCACTGTCAAAACATTTGACATCCCCCCCTGCTTTTACCAAAAAACTTCTCGAAACACTCCAACCTCCTTTCCTCCACACACACTCCAACCTGCCTCCGAGTCGCAGGGATGGCTTCTCCGTTCAAGGCCTCCATGAGCCGATAACTCCAGCGGCCATGGCCATGAAGCACCTCACCCACGCATCTGTTCTATATATACACAACACATCAACCACACCAACCTGGCGCCATGACAGCTTTCTCCCGGAATGGCTTCGGCACCTTCCCCCACAACCTTCCTCCGAAGCCTTCCTCCAAACCCGTTGTCTGGAACCTTCCTCCGGACACTGCTCCGGAACCTGCTCTGGACCCTGCTCCGCAACCTGCTCCGGAACCAGCTCCGGAACCTACTCGCGGAACCTGCTCCAGAGCTTGCTCCGATCTGCTCCGAAGTCTATACTATGGCTGAAGACTCCTAAAGCTTCGCTGTTGGGGAAAAACACGAATGGAATGCATACAGTTTTTTTGCAGTTCGATGTGTGGATGCCTTTTGTAGATGAAG